ATAAAAATTAATTTCAATTTTAAAATAAACCATTCCAATCCTCTAAAAAATATTTCTTATTCCTCCATAAGTCTATCAACCAAAACAAGCCAATATAATATATCCAAAAATCGACTCAATACAACATTCAAGAGATTTGCGAATTTCATATCCCAATAACGTATATAGCAATGGGTGCGGATTTATTTTGGGATTTTTTTTCGTTTTGTTTTGGGATTTTTTTTCGTTTTTCGTCCGGGCCAGCAAAATGTCGTATTTTACAGCATTTTCTCGTGAAATTGACGCATTTTACACTAGCTCGTCAACATCCCCAGTATCGTTTTCAACATCCCCCGCATGTCCGACCAACATCCCTAGCATCACCAACAAATCGTGGGTAACAAAATCCAAAAATGTAACTGGCTGGTTGACGGGGTCATTAAACAATGATGCTTCAAACAGGAGGGCATTTCAATCCCAGCAAAAAAAACAAAAAACAATTAAGAAAAACAGAGCGGGGTAGTGATGATTCGAACAGGGGTGATTAAATCTCTGCAAAAAGTCTAAAAAGTAGCGGGGGGGTTGGAAGAATTGATGATTCAACTAGGGATGCAATTAATTGAATCTCTGTAGAAAATCTAAAACGTAGCGGGGGGGGTTGGGGGGGGGGCGGCAGCCCCCCCATGATGTCGGAAGAAGTGGTGATTCAAGTAGGGGTGCAATGATTCAAGAAAGGGTGTGATAGAATTTACAAGGCAGCGGGAGGGTTGGCGGGGGTGGCTTCGCGAAATTGGATGCTCGAAAAAGTGATGATTCAAACAGGGGTGCAATTCAATCTCTGCCGGGCCAGTAAAGTGTCGTATTTTACAGCATGTTCTCGCGAAATATACCCCGCATGTCCCACCAACATCCCTAGCATCACCCACAAATCGTATGACGGGGTCAAAGAAATGATGATTCAAGTAGGAGGGCATGTCAATCCCAGAAGTGATGATTTGAATAGGGGTGCAATTAAATCTCTGCAAAAAGTCTAAAAAGTAGCGGGGGGGTTAGGGGGGGCGGCAGCCCCCCCCATGATGGTTCAAGAATTGATGATTCAACTAGGGGTGCAATTAATTAAATCTCTGTCGAAAATCTAAACGTAGCGGGGGGGGTTGGGGGGGGGGGCGGCAGCCCCCCCATGAGGTCGGAAGAAGTGGTGATTCAAGTAGGGGTGCAATGATTCAAGAAAGGGTGTGATAGAATTTACAAGGTAGCGGGAGGGTTGGCGGGGGTGGCTTCCCCTATGATGTTCGAAGAAATACATACATACAGACATATACGGACTACACAGATTACCTAAAATGTCGTGTTTTGCAACATTTTCTCGTGAAATTGGATGCTCGAAAAAGTGA